ATTTTCTTTTTCTTTTTTTCCCCAAATGATGTTAAACAGAGCAAGAATAAAAGCAGTTTTTAATTTTTAAAAAACCATTTAAAGGTCAAAATTATTAGCACTTTTAAGCTTTTTTTTTTGATAGTCTATAAAACAAACCATCGTTATAGAATAAATTGCCTAATTACCCTAACCTGCCTAGTTAACCTAACTAATCTTAGTAATCCTTTCCTTTAAACTGATTTTCAGATATTCAGATAAATATAATTTTACTTTTTTTGCAGTATATAAGATTTATTTTTACAATGGACCAACCAACAAGTTATGCATTAAGAAGAATAAAAAAATGATTCTAGAATTTATAAGTTACATAAATAATAAAAAAATGCAAAGTATCAATCGGTAATGCATAAATGTTTTCATTCAAATTTATATAAGGAAATTCATAAACATAATAAGTATAGTTTTAATATACAAATTTAAAAAAGGATGAAAATTAACTTTAAAATGGCTCAATTAATTAACTTAAAATAAAATAATTAAAATAGCACATAAAATATTTTGTTTATTAGTTATGAAGGAACATGGGGGAAAATATCAACAGAAAAAAAGAAAAATAATTGCTTTTAGGCCAATCCTGAAGACCACAGGTTTTATTCGCATCATTTTTGATATCAAATTATTATGTACATAGAAAATGGTTATATATAGGGTTAATTTTTTGTTGTGTCGACCAACCAATAAATCATACATCATTGCAAATAATAATACTATTATTCGCACTCTTATTTAACATTATTAACTGATTTAACATTTTTATGTAAATATACAAATAACATTGATATGTATATTTTGACATATGCACAATAAAAGCATTCATACATTAAATAAATTTATTAATAACATTAATCAATACATATGTAATTATCTCAATCATAATGTTACAATCACATACGTTCTTAAATCATGTGATTTATTTGGAAAAAAATCACCTTATTAATGTGGAAATAAACATCTTTTTATTTGCACTGATTTGTTGATTTTTGTAAAAATAGTAAATAATGAATGAAAAAAAGAATTGATAAAAGATTAAAAAATTTAAAGTGCTTTTTAGAGCCAGAGTGTATAAATATAATTAAAATTATATTTAGAGATTCACATGTTTTTCTTATTCATTTGAACCTTTTTGATTATACACTTGCGACTGATGAATTAAAATGTTCACAATAATGACTTATTATATTTTTTATTACTTGTATTATATATTATTTACTGATTTATGTTTTGTTGCATATTGCAGAAGAAAATATCTACAGTAATAATAAAAACATTAACAAAACCATTCCTGGCTTCTCTGTCCAGGTGTCAATTTGAACACCGTTATGCACCTGAACAAACACCATTTAACCGAAGTGACGATTGTTCATGGTTTGCGTGCTGGTGGCCAAAGCACATTTGTAAGCAGGCTGTGACTTTGATACTGCAGGGTTTATGCGGTCAGGGCCTGTTTCCTGTCCTTATTCTGTTGCTCACACTCAGATAAACTGCTTTTAACAGTCCAGGAGCCCTCGACCTCTTAAGCCCGGCCATTATGAAGCCACTGTAACCTGATCTACAGAGCCAGCTACTGTTCTTACGCTTCAATTATTTATTAGTCAACACTTATTGTCCCCTTGGGCTTTGGCAGGGAGGGAGGGAGGAAGGCCAGAGCTTGATTGTGTTTAAGAGGTAACATGGTCTGGCTCTGTTCTGACCCATCAGGGTCGGTAAGTCATTCGACGATTTATGTCCGCATAATGCAGCATGCTGGGATAGCAGAGGCTAGTGTTACTGTGATTGAGTGGGACCAATAGCGAGCAGATTTCTGAGGTGTCAGGCTACGTTTATGCTTGTGCATTTTCGTTTTAACATGGCGTTTAATAATGAAAACAAACGTACTGGAGTTTCCAATATGTTTCAGAAAATAAAATCATGCACAGTATATCAAACAAAACTACAGAATGTTAGTCTATGTACAATTATTAAATAAAACATATATTACAATCATATTTGTAATAAACAACTAGTATGAAATTGCTTTGAAAGAATAAAAAGTCAAGTTTGATATTATTTACAGGGGTAGTTCACCAAAAAATGAAGATCCGTCCACGATTTACTTGCGCTCAAGTCATTCTAGGTGTTTATAACTTTTTTCTTTCAGTTGAATCTGATCAGAGTTATTTAAATATTATATATTATCCTTTTTGGGGACCACAGAATCTCATCTCTGTTACTGGCAGACGATGTTGTTCTGTTGGTTTCATCGAACATTGACCTTCAACATGCTCTGTGGCGGTTTGCTGCTGAGTGTGACACGGCTGGGATGAGAATCAGCACCTCTAAGTTCAAGGCCATGGTCCTCCACCGGAAAAAGGTGGTTTGCCATCTCCAGATTGGAGGAAAGTCCTTACCCAGGGTGGAGGAGTACAAGTATCTTAGAGTTTTGTTCACGAGTGAGGGAAAGATGGAACGTGAGATTGAC